ATAATTTTTGACAATGGTTTAGAGAAAGAATCTTTATTCGGTCCAACAGGAATGGTTAAAATTTTCGGTAGATTATTCGAAAGAGTTTCTTTTATCTTTTCATCTTGTTTCGTATCATCGACAGAGTTTTGCTTCGTAAAATTATTAAGAGCAACGCTATTATCTAGTTGTACTATTCTTGTAGCATTTTCACTGTTCGTTTTCTGAATATTTAAGTTCGAGCCACTTGTACTTTCTTTTACAAGGTTATCTTTTGTATCATTTAAGAATACTTTCTTATCATTGTTCCGGTTAACAAAGTTGGAATCAGAAATCTTCTTACAAATTGTTTCCTTTGGGGCTTTCTGGGCGTCAGGAAGCGCCTCGCAAACTATTACTTCTTCGGAAGATCTTTTCGGTTCGCCAAACATTCTCTTGCAAACTGTGATATCTTCCGGGGACTCTTCAGTAACGAACTCCTTACAAACTCTCGTTAGTTTTGGAAGCTCTTCAGAATTTCCGAACGTTGTTTCGTACATAGGAATCCCTTTTAGACGTTTCATAGAATTCTCGAACGTACTTTTACATGTTTGCATCTTCTCGAAACGCTCTCTAGCAACGCTAAACGATACAGTCTCGCATGTAGTTGCATCTCTATTTAATTCACTGGAGGATGTTTGGCAAACGGACATTTTTACATTATTATTACATTTGCCTTTCAAACATTCCGAAGCCTCGAAAATATTCTCGCACGTTTGCGTTTGCTCGACGCGTTCTCTACTAGTATTAAACGCTATATCGGTTGCACCTTCGACTAATTTATTAGAAGATGCTCGGCAAACGGATGTCTCTTCTAAACATTTTGTATTATTGTATACATTTTCAGGAAACTTTCTCTCGATTTTATCGATGTTGGTGAAGCAATCTTCTTCCTCCTCCGTGATACAACTACATCTGGACCGTTGTCGAACAGCATGATCCTTTTGACAACTTTTTGAAGGTCGCAGTAATTTATGCTCCATTTGTCTCTTTAAGACATTATTGCGATTTAATACGGAATTCTGAAGTCTTTTATTTCGATTTTTACAGCCGTTGATTTTCGTTTCTGTGAAACACTCTTTAGGAACTTTGCCATGTGTAGCGCAATCGGTGTAAATCGATTTCGGTAACCATCTGCTGCCATCGACCGCATGGCACACTATATATCCGCTATTATTTTTGCAAACGTTATTTCGAGCATCACTTTTGCGATAATTCCTCTGTTCTACATTAGTGCAAATTGCATTTGATAAAGAGGCGTCACTGTCATTCAATGTGGTTTTCATTTCTGAGGGATAAATAGCGGTCCAAGATTGTTGACGTCTAAAATCGTCGCACATATTAAAATCTGAGCATGGAACTGGAGAATCCGACAAATCCTGCTCAAGATCCATGAAACTCGTATCCTTGCAACAGCAACCGTCCCTAGTCGATGAGATCGTATCCTTGCATTCGCTGACATTTATTTGTTCCTTGTCGGATTTGCTTGATTCTTTCCCGCACAATATTTTATCGCAAACGATATTATCGCTGCTGCGCTTCTTGTGAATAGAATTAGATGATTGCTGCGTTTTCTTCCGTTTTTCTCGTATGCTGTTTATTAATTTGCACGATGATACGCTGGCACATTGTGAATTTAATTGTTCAGTAGTTGTATCAGAACTTGTAGTTGTGTCTGTATTTAATTCAAGCCTCGATTTTTTCTTGTTTTTTGTCTACATGTTTAATTAAAATTAATTGTAAAAGAGTTATTATGATAATTATATTTTATAATTATATTTTTTGTAATATTATATGATTTATATATAATAAAATAATTATAATATAATAATTACAAGAGAAATACAATTAATTTTAATATTTCATATTTTTTTATAGATTTATGGAGTCGCTAGTTGTTGTTATTAATTTATTCAATAAGCAGTTTAAAAGTTTTTTTGATATTTATCATGACAAAAATATAAAAATATAAATATAAATAAAAAAATATAAATATAAAAATAAAAATAAAAATATAAAAATAAAAATATAAAATATAAAAATATAAACATGATATTTCTTTTTTATACTGACAACTAATTTTTTATATAATACATTTAAATATTTTATACTTTTAAATATTGCATTTAATATAAAAAAAGTTATTCAATAATGATATGCTGACATATTATTTACCTGGCTATTGTCTTTAGTTTCTGAACAAATATAAATATTGACATTTCCAGTCATTCTTCGATTGTCGGTACTCACGTTATTTGCTGATTTTTTATTTTTATTTTCGTTATTAATTTTATTTTTCACAGGCAACTGTATTATACTCTCGTATGTTTTGGCGTACGCATATGAGTTGTCACACATGATTGGATACTGACATGAAGCATGATGTGTTGTTTGTTGATTACTGCAAACACTAGGCAATTTGTTATGATATTTTTCCGTTATATGAGACTGACACGCACGGGACTTTTGTTCACACTGTTTCAAACACGATAAAATCGGCTTTTTCTCTTCCTATTTTAAAGAAATTTATTTTTATTACTTGTTTAATCGGTTCTATTTTCACAAAACAAATTATAAATTTAAAAAATAAGGAATTTTTAAATCTTCAATATTATTGTTGAATTAATTATTTTCATTCTATTATAAACATCTAGAAGAAGGAGGAAAATTTTGAAAGTGGATACTTGCATCCTAGGTACCATTGAGCATTGTTTTACGATAGTTTGAACAGCATCTTTAATAGAATTGTTAATCTCTTTAATAGAATTGTTTATCTCTTTGTTAATTATCTCACTCAGCTTTGTCGAATCGAGCCTTTTGTCGTGCATGGACAATTCCTTTCTCGCTGCATTCGCGCAAGCTTCTCTATTGATTTTCTCTTCCCCGCATATTCTCAAAGTTCGCATGCAATTCGCTTCTGGTGCCTTTTTATCGGTTTTATATCCTTCATTTTCTAACTCTTGTGTTTTCATGATTTCCTCTCTTCTTCTCAATTACATCAAAAATGTTTTCAAAGTTTCTTCCTATCCTCTTTCAATTTTGCTACCAATTTCAACTAATCGTCAAGCTCAACGCATTCTCTGCGAAAAGTTTATGATTGTCACGAAAAGGATAAGCTACAATTGTATTGCGCAAGGATGTCTCTCATATAGAAAATATTGTGCTCTACCTCTTGAATCTTTAAATTCTTTGCCGCTTGAGAATTTATTGCTTTTCCGCTCGTTTCGATTTTTGGCGTTAATAATCTCCGGCCGAACACATTTCTTAATCCTACTGTTTTTCATGATTTCTTTCAGCTTTACTATTGTAATTAAAATGCACTATTCTTCCTCTCTTCTGTTATTAATTTCTAAAGATACACTTTTACATTTTTTTACTCATTATTCATACTTAAAAATTTCAACTATTTGGTTAAATGTCACATTATACTGACGTTAAGTAACAGCATTTTTAATGACAAAATAATAGAATATCAAAAAATAATATGTGCTTTTTATTTTTATAACACGTCAGATATGATAAATACGAATTTTATTCAATCAAGTTATTTAAGGATGTTTTGTATCTATTTTAAAAATATTGAGAATTTAATGAAAATTGTAGAATGTCCTTACATATGTTTAGAATCTTCAGTACAATTTTTAAATCGATTCACTAAAGCGTTCACAAGTTATAAGGATTTTCATTTGCACCGAATTAACATGTGTTCTTATGGGAAACGTATAATGTCGATTCAAATGACAAAAACACATGGAAATAATATTCAGAATTTATTGAAAATTTGCAAAAGTTTAGATATAGAGGAAATATTTGGTCAAATAATATTATACAAGTATTAACTGGTTAAAAAGATATTAAATATAATTTAAAATTAGCCATGTATCTGTCACAAGGCGAAATTCTCTGCCAAAAGTTAATCATTTCGGTTAACAAAATTCGGAATATTTCAGTAAAAACGTAATAAATATTAACAAATACATCTCTGCACTGTAGCTAAGATCAAATTGGAATATTAAAATTATATAATTTTTTGTTCGATATATATAAATATTTAATTAATATTCTACACAATTTCTTACTCAAAATACATCAAAAATGGATATATTCGTCAATATTGATTTTGAACTACTTTTTGCTGGGATTGTACATACAAAACATTCTTGATCTTCAATATGGATTTTTTATTACGGTCAAGAATCTTGTAATTTAATTGCTATATAAGTATAATATCTTGCATATTCAAAAACGTCTATATTTGTTAGAACCAATTATAAAATAGAAAAATATTTGCAATTATTAAAAACGTTTGGTAATGGAAATGTAATTACAAAAATACAAACACTCAAAAACAAAAGATATCATTCCTAAAAACTTAGATTGTTTTTATTACGTTTTAATTTCATTTGGCATTTAAAAAGAATTAATCGATCGATATATTTACTTTAATTTAATCGCATTTCCAATTTTTTTTATAATTTACAAGCATTTTCAAATTTTATTTAGTATATCTATTCGCTTTAAGAGCTGCATCAATGGGTCAATTCTCATATAATAACCTTGACTTATGCCGATTGTTGAATGTACGAATCAATTGTTTGACGTAGTGATGTTTAGTATTACCGATAAGAAATCTGTTGTTTGTTTCTGATCCGTATTGTTTAATTAAATGCATGATCATTTCACTCATGTATAATACATATGAATATTTTAATTAATGAAATCTCAATTATATGAAAAATATTTTTGATACATTTGTAATACATATTGTCATTAATCGTATTTTAATTGACATTCTATAATGCTAACAAATTAATTTTCACTGCTGTAGATCCTTTCTTTGTAAACGTTGTGTTAACTTATTGATATCTGAAATGAAATTTATTGTAACTCTAATTATTATAAAACATTCTCGGATAATAAAATTAATTACAAAATTTCTTCGCTACAACATTAAAATTCAATACATTTATAAAATATTATCCTTAATCCGTGATTTCATCAGTTGAAGTCGAAATATCAGGTCGATGGTATTTGCCAGGATAAATACAAATCGATGATGTTTCACTAAACGATTCACTTTGAAATCCCTGTTTTGGTTTATGGATTATGCTGCACTCTTCTTCGTATTTCTCATACATTGGCTGAGTATAAATTTTAATTTAAATTTAAATTTTAACAATATCATATAATATTTATATAACTATTTATATTCAAAACGCTTTCATGCTGAAGAGCATGAATTAATTTCAATTTATTTTGATTTGAGTATTTTGAATGTTAATACATAAAATATATCTGAATAATTTACACACATAACTACTATGGCTATTTTAATTTCTGATATTTTTTTTGTTTGTATGATTAAGTTTTGATTATACCTTAAATGTATTAATAGCTTTATCACATTTTGACGTAATTTCTCTACGATCTTTATTTGTAGGAGGAAACAATTGTTTTATGTCTTTACGTTTATCTGCGTGCTGAAATAGCGATATTAAAGGCCTTTCGGTTTCCATCACCTTTTTCCGAAATTCACATATCACGTCTTTAAAGATTTGCGTTTCTTGATATGGAAGGTTATTCGCCTCAGTTAACTTTGTCGAAACCTTGGAAAATATCATATCGAAAATGAGAGAGATATTACATATCTGTAAGTTTTTATCTCCGCAGTGACTAAACATTGCTATAATCGTAAGAAAAATATACATAATCTTCAACAACCATAACGATTACTTAAGGAATACAACAAAATCACTGAAAATTAATTTATTTGTTAAGAATATAATTAAAAAATTAATCAAACCATATGTATATTAAGATTAAATATTAAGATTAAATATCAAACAGATGATAAAATTTAAGAATTTTATCAACTTTTAAATAATGTAAAAGTAAGATAAATTTTCTTACTGAAGTTAAGCCGATAGATTCATGAGCATCGCATGTAATAGAAGTGTCACAGGAGATTGGCTCTCTCGATCTGACATTTAGCAAAGAAGAATCCTTCGCATTTCGAAGAGCACTCGTACATCTTCTAGCTTCGCGTTCCTGAATTAATCTCATTCTATCATGTTCCTTTAATTCTTCTATTAACCCTGGTGCTTGATATGGCGGTAGATACTTTTTCAACATAGGTATTTCCAATCTAGTTTCGCAGACATTAACATCGTATCTTGTCTTTCTCATTTGCTCTGACCTTTCTTGTAACGAACTGCAGCATTCATTATAAGAAAATTAAAAAGTTTTCTCTTCTTTCGAACATTATAATATATTTATTTATATTTATCATATTTATTATATTTATTATACATTATTTATATTTTCTTAAGCATTACATTTTTACTAATTCGATATTAAAAATAATTTTTTTGTTTCTAAAATATCGCCTTGTTAACGTCTTATTTTTGTAAATTCTGCTGAATTAAATATCTGCAGAATTAAGTATTCTTAGTTTATCTATAACATTTATAAGGTTTGCGTGTAATATATGGATTCACAAATTTTTCTCGATTAACTATAATCTTGGCGATAAATTATTCGATCAAGTATTTTAAATTGCAGTTGAATATTACAAGACCAAACTTGTAAGTAATTCGTTTGTGAGCTTTGAAATGCAAGCATCAGTCTGCCTTTGTCGAATATCTCTCGTGTCGCGAATTTTGCACTGAACTTGGTGATTTTTACTTAATTTAATAGCTGGTCTAAAGGTAAAAGCGATTTTTCCATGTCTTTGAACATCGTCAGGATGCTTTTCTACTTGATTTGGACGTAAAAGCTCTTCTTCTTGTCGCGTTCTGTATAGTCACTGAAATCAGAAACTCATGTGTGGAAACAGTGTATGTTACCTGGAATGTCTTTGAGCTAGCACACCGCGATCACAAGTTTTTTTTCGTTTGCTTCTTCTGTTACGTTGCTTCTCTTTAATTAATGTCGCCTTGTCACAAGATTTTCGTTTCCCTCGTGATGAACTACTAGACTCAGAATCACTATTGAACGCATCATCGAGTTATAAGTGTTATATAAATTTTGATGTATCGAATTATTGCTTTTATAAGACTCATAAATTAACTATAATTTTTTAATATTTTTTTCGTCATATTTATTTTATACCTCTCCTTATAATCTTTACGTTTATCGATCCGCTTTTCCCGTCTTCCCTCGTCTCTCTTCTCTCTTCTTTCTTTCGAGCCAGCTTTGAAAATTTTGGCACCAGTATACGGTGTCTTTTCACCTTTCTTACACTTTTTAGATTTTTGTAGATTTATTTGAATGGTCTTTTCGGGAATTTTCGTAGGTCTTCTAATTTCACGTGCAATAAACTGCGCGTCTTTCTGCAACATTTCAATGTCTTCTTTAAAGTCCGTGGATTTTGCCATTTCTATATTGCCTGTACATGTTTCCTCTGCTGTTTCCGGTTGCTTCGTTAATTTTTTCTCGACAAATTTTTTACTCGTTTTTTTTTTCCCAATACGTGACGCCATACAACTGCAAACTAGCTAACGGATCGTTCAACTGAGCTTTTTCACTTACTTTTAATGTTTTTACGTCTTTTCTCGCTCCCAGGTCTTTGGCTTGTTCTTTTTTGGCAGAGTACTTTTTCTCATTTTTCTCTTTTTCAATATTATTAGACTCTATAATTGCTTCGTCAGTTTTCGATAGTGATTTTCTTCGATCATCTTTAATTACAACTTTTTCTGGAATTTTTTGTCGATCTGTCTCAATATCTATCTCAGCACCTATTGATGTTCCTTCCGTAGTGACAATTTCTCCCATCTTCTTTCCTAGAAATTAGACGAATAAACTGTCTGATTAAATATTCTGCAGTCTTCTGCAGAATTTTAAATCGAAAGATCACTATCCTCTGACCTGATTTTCGCCAGTCAATAGTTAGTAATTCTTTGTCTGCTTTCGACATTCTCTTCGTTTCAGATATTTCGTTATTATGTTCGGTCGTAATATTCATCTCCGAGTGACAAACTTCAATGTCTTTTTTATTATCGCAGAATATTTGTGATGTGCAAGTGCAAGCAATCTAAATAAATTTAGCTTTTATTAATGTAATTAATAGTTAGATAAAGTTGAATATACCTACAAGAACAACCTATTAACATTGAATAATATGTAATAAATTTATATATGTTTTAATTAGCTTAGTTCGCAAAATTATATATTTTTCCTTTTTTATATAAGTTTTATAATTGTACATAACTAATCGATATTAAAAATTGAGATTATCATGGAACTAAGAAACAAGCGTACACGAGTGTAATCACTAGAGACGTTTAGCTTATTCGTCTCCTGATTATCGAAGCATGTTTTGGTATCTGATAAAACATTAATGCGCTTTCCCAGATGAACGCATCTCCGCTTTAATTGCGAGTCTTTGATCTCGTCTACTTCAAAATATAACATATCCTTTGAAATTGGCTGCAGATATCTATAACACGAGTTACATGTTATAATGTAAACACAGAATAACTAATTAAAAATATTGCCCGAGATTCCCATTTGTCATAATAACAATAATCATTAAATAATAATAATAAATATAATAATATTATAACAATATATACAGGATGTTCCCGGGTTAAATGGCCAAATTTAAAGTATAAATTTGGGACCTCAAAACAAGCAAAAATTTCCTCTGAAAATTTGCTCGCAAACGCTTCGTTCAAGAGACATCGACTTGTTAAGTTACAGAAACATAGGAATGAATAATACCGAAATATTTCTATTTTATCTTTGTTTTAAAGATTGAAGGTCATTCATAGGTTTCTGTTTTTTACAAATAGAATCGATTTCTAGTTCATTGAATACTTTCGTGGAGTAAAGTAGTACAATATGCCTCGTACATGTTCTAATAGTGAATATGCTGATATGGTATATCTATCATTTTGAACAAAATATTGAATAATTATAAATTTTGGTTACTGTAAAACAATAAAAAAAAAAGCAATAAAAAAGATAAACCTAAATTATTTCGATATTATTCATTCCTATGGTTCTGTAACTTAACAAGTCGATCTCTTGAACGAAGCGTTTGCGAGCAAACTTCCAGAGGAAATTTTTGCTTGTTTTGAGGTCCCAAATTTATATTTTAAGTTTGGCCATTTTACCCAGGAACACCTTATATAATAAATAAAAATAATAATAATAAATATAATAATATTTATTTCCAATTTTAACGTTTTATTTTTAGATTACCGAGGTAATTTTTTCGTTGTAAATTTCTTCTCGTGAGGATATTTCAGCTTTACATCGTCAGCTCGTACATGAGACTCTGGTTGGCGACAAATCGTCCTGCGTCGTGCACGATGTGAATCATAATTTCTGTTGTAAATATTATCTTCGGAATCGTCATGGTCCGAAATGATTTGTAAACAATCTACTTGCCGATCGTGCGTCTTCAAGAGCGCGCCCTGTTCGTTTTCTTCATCGGAAGTAGACGAGGAAGTAGAGGAAGGCACTTTACGCTTCGCCTCCTTTCTACGGATTCGTCGATAGATATTCGTTCCAACAGGCGAGACAGATTGAGTTCTAGGAAGCATTCGAATTATTCTGTCTACGAGAGACGGTTTCTTCGTTCGCCATTCGCTGTCGCTATCGATCTTCTAAAAGGGAATGAAAATTTGTCGCAAATGGTCAGCGCAGAAATAATTGATTAAAAATAAAGTGGATACATGTCAGCAAAGTAACAGGAAGCTATTTTATCGCATACCGTTTCCTTTCCGAGCCAAGGAATTTTCGTGAGCGCGGCAAGGACTCTTCTTACGCGGCTCCGTTTCTTTTCTTTGGCAAGGCCGTCCTTTAAAAGTAGTTCGTTGGAGCCGTCGTCCATCTCGATGTGAACCACCTCCTCTTCATCTAGCTCCTCCGTAGGCCAGGATTCGGTATTCGCTATCGATGTGGACGAATTGGAATCGTCCTTGCGCGGAGAAGAGCAGGATTTCCTTTTCAATCTGGTACGAAGCCTCCTACGAGCTCTCACTACGAAACAAGATGTCGGATCCTCGCTACTCGAGGTAATTTCCTTCGCTAATGGATCGTTAAAAATCTAAATCAGAAATTTACAGTTCAATCCTCCATTATCGGCATTGGATATTGCGATCAGTTTGGTTTATTCTTACATAAGCATAATTAAAATGATAGATTTTTACTGAGAAGCTTAACACATTTCGAAGAAGATGATAATTTATTTCCTTTTTATTTAATAATTAATGTTATATACAGAGAATACATCTGAATTAATTGAACTGTGCAATTAATAAAATATTTTCTTATTTCAATTAATAAAATATTTTCTTATCAGTTTGAAGAAAATTTGTTATTTACATTAAATATTAAATTTGATTTTGTATAGAAAGAGAGAGAGAGAGAGAGAGAGAGAGAGAAGTTTTTATTAATTTGTAAAATATAATAAATTAAGATTTAATAAAAAAAGGTAACATCTTACTTGAATCGTAACGTCTTCTCTTATTTTTTGCGCTTCGATGTCTTTGAAAGGTGTTTTACAACGCTCAATTTCAATCTCTTGTGATGACCTTTCTTGATAAGCTAAAACAGATATTAATGATTATTTTTTTATAGAATTTATATTGACATTTGGAATCGAATTCTAAACTTATAATTTTATCTCACGAGTCAACAAAAGTCGATATAAATTCCGTGATAAAAATAATCATTAATACATTTAGCTTAAGAATATATATATATATATTGTACATACTATAACTATAGATCGAATCCGAACTACTTTCATCGATATCGTCATCCGTTTGTACGGCTTTATCTTCTTTTTCTATAATTACTTTCTCAATCTTTTCTTCCAATATTTTTTCTTCGGGCACTTTTTCTTCTAATATTTTTTCTTCTGGTAATTTTTCTTCCATCTTTTCTTCCAGCTTTTCTTCTGGTATTCCTTCTTCTGGCAATTTTTCTTCTATTCTTTCTTCCGGTATTTCTTCTTCTTGTATTATTTCTTCTTTGGGTTTCTCTTCCATAATTGGTTCCTTTTCTTTATAAATATCTATTGTCACAGGTTCCTTTTTCGCTATCAATTGGTCATCCGATGAATCTCTAATGCAATAAAAAATGTAATCATATGTTCATAATCAAAAGAAAGTACATAAATATATTAATATGCACATTTTCATACGATATTATGTTTCAATCCAAAAAACTGTTGGTGCTAAAAAAAGTGCTTTTGGATTGTAATAAAACGCAAATATGATTTTCTTCAGAAGTATTTTAAAGAAGATTATTTTAAATATTATTTTAAATTTTATTATTTTAAAGAAGAAACTATATTAATTATATATATTCTTTAAAATTTACGTCAATTACAATTATATAACTACACTAATATTTAATAAAAAAACTATTAAAAAACAAAATAAAAACTTGCATTTATCGTTTTAAATAATATTAAATAATTTTAATTTAAATAATATCAATCCATTGTTCGCTCAAACGCGAATATATATCGTATATTACTTTGATTTTTATATTCTGCGAGTTTTCTTATTAAAATTTGCGACATTGATTGATTAGCAGAGCTCACTTTTCCTCACTGATGTCCGACAAATCGCCGTAATCGATCGGCGATCGGCAAATTGTGCAGAGATTCTGCAAGTCCGCGAAGCATTGAATGCAAAACAAACCGACGCAATCAGGTGTGGCGCATTTAATGTGCGGTTCCTGATCGGAACGCTCCACGGCACCGCAAAGAAGACACATGTTCTGCTTACGAGGGAGCAACTTGTTCAGGAACGGGCAGATCGCCAGGCATCGCTCTCTAAATGTAACTCTCTCGATTCTCTCGTCTTCGTTCATGCCGAACTTGCGGCGCAACTGGCGCCGTGCAAATTTCAGAAAACTTCCTCTCGATCTGCACGAGTTTGGATCCATTAACTAGATGCGGTTTGTATGCACGAAATTTATGTTTCGCAAAGTAAACGCGAGCAGCCGAGCTGAAGTAACCGAGCTGTACGATTAAGTAAACCGAAACAGAAGATTTCGATTATTGTTTTACAGCGGTTTAAGAAAAACCTCTAACATTTTAACGAGAAATTTCAACAAAGATTAAATAATAAAGCGTTAACGTTTAATTGATCGATTGATTAAATTTTATTAATACTTCTTGTATGAGCAGCTAGAATAAAACTTGATACAAAAAGTGCTTTTATTTCATACTCATTACCTAATTATATGATTGTACAACCAAGCGGCTCTTTGCTTGGCTCTTTCCGGATGATACTTGCACATGACAATGTGTCGTAATCTTAATCCGTACGGTTCGAATATCGCCATAATCCAACAGAAGCCGATCAGTGTCATAATCTGCGTATATCTGTCTAGATCTGGAGGGATGGGATCTGGAAGGCAGGGCGTCATATCGATCTCCGCATCCTTCGCGTGCGGCGTGAAGGCTTTCACGATGCTTCGATAAAGGTCGGCGAGATAGCCGTTACCAGACACATAGACGCCTACAAAATTGGGTCGTTGGACCTAGAGATCGATATGTAGCTTTTGCCATCACGCGATATTACTTTTCATCGTGATTATTCTTCGTCATCGTATATTCGGATGTCGATATTCTAGCACTTCTAGCGCGAATCACGGCAACAAAATTACAATTCTAAGCTAACAAAACGCTTGATTAATTCAGTATTTAAGATACGTTTTAATTGTACCTTGATTTTTCCTTCGACGCCTTTTTCTTATATTTATCAGGGAATTTTTATTATATTTTCTTGTATTTATCATGGAATACGTATTAATCAACGATTTTATTTAATATATATCATTGGTTTTATTTAATTATATTATTATATTAAATAAATGTATATTAAATCAATGATTTTATTTAATATATATTTATTTAAATTAATTAGAATAATATCAAGATACCTTCGTTTCGATTCGTCCATGAAATCTAATAGTGCTAAGGATCCAGTAAAGACTGTAATCCGCCATCATGTGAATACAGATTTTAAATGTTGTTAAGCACAAGAATACTGCGGATTTGGCGAGCTTTACTTTTTCTACCTTAATCAGTGTGATAGACGTTAATGGGATATATTGATTTCTTTCGCGACGGTTTAACGGTAATATGGTTTCCTTCTCTTGACGCGTTCTTATTAAATCGATAGTGCGCAGATCGTCAGTCAGATATTGATTGTCGAAACGATCGTTCGTTAACCATTTGTGCCGATAATGTATAATTCTATAAAATAACTCGATTTATCAAATATTAGATTTCAGCATTTCTCAAAATAATATCTTTAATTTTACCTTAGCAACATGAAGAGAATAAAAAAGGTAGCCATAAAACTCATCCAATCAAAAAGAGCTAAAAATTTATCGGTTCTCGATCGCACTTCAGTGATTATACCAGTCGACACATCTTCGAGAGTTTTACTTTGATTCGTCTCAAAGTGGAAAGAATGCGAAAATTTCACTTTAACGTAAAACATTGCTTTTATGTGGCGAGTGAACCTTTTGATTTCTGTTTAAAAAAGAAGAAACCTTTTTTCAAATTATTCGCGAAATTTATGAAAATATCTAAAATTTTATATACATTTTATAATTATATATTTTATATATATTATTATATATTTATATATTATTATATTATATATTATATCTATATATATTATTATATTATATATTATATCTATATATTATTATATTATATATTATATCTATATATTATATAATATTTATATATTATTATATTATATTATTATATATTATTATATATTTATAATGTTACAAATATATATCTATATTTATATATTTTTAGTTTCTTTTTTAAATTGTAGATTTGTAAATTTTGGATATCTATTATCTAGATTTTTAAATTCTAGAATTGTAAAATTTTAAATCCTAAAATTTTTCAAGAGTTTCTTAAAGTTTATAAATTTTTTTGCGAGAGAAAGAAAAATTAATTAATTAAAAGAAACGTACTTTTGCGTACGGCATTAACTATGGTATCGGCAACGTAAGACACGAGCATGCAAATGAAGTCTAAAGGTTTCACTACGTAACACAGGGCGCCGACGATGTACGTCAAATTGCATATCCCTCCGAAAAGAGGGCCAAGCTTCGCTTTACAGTCAGCCACCGCTCCATCGAAGACTCTCTGACACCTGTCGAACGGCGTACCCAATTTCTTGTTGCAGATATTCACGATGCTGCCGAGCCATTGAAAAACCGACGTGATCACTCTCACTAAAGGATAACATTTTCAAAGTTACAAAGATCGATGGGATTTGCGAAACCGCGAGAGAAAAATTGACTTACGTATACTAAGCACGAGTCGTTTGATAGCCACGAGAGTTCGCTTAATCTTCTTTACAACCACCTTCACCGTCTTTATTACTTTCGATATTGCGTCTCTCAAAGCGTAAAATGGCTCTTTTATTAAGTCAATTACACTTTTTACTGCTTGCTTTAGCTGCTCCTACAGATGCGATCTACGTTAGTAACCGCTCGAAATAATAACAAATCAAAAGCATAGCTAAGCTCACGAGAATTTAATAATCTGTAATATGGAAATAATATGGAGCTTGTTGATCAAGGAATTTAAAACGATCTATAAAATCAAGAACCAATGAAAGCAATAATAGATTCAATCGCATGATGCATGGACATAAATGAACTTACCTATTAAAGCTTACCTGTCCACAGACTAAAGACTCCGAAAGGATACTGGTATTGTGCAGGGTATTTTTTCCGGGTCCGGTAATAGTTAGAATAAAGGCATAAGCTATCAAGGCCTGTCTGCCACGTTTAGAAAAAAATTGCGGCAGCAATAAGAATACGATACACCTGTGCGTTTGTAAAAACAAAGGTGCGCATCAAAGATAAGGATACAAATTTGAGATTATTTTAATCTTTCTTTTTCGAAATAATCTATAAATTCGTGGAATCTTTATATTTTTATATACGTAATTTATATTATATTTATGTTCGTATTGTCACTGAAATTCATAAGAAATTACCTCACATGGTAAGAAAATGCCAATCCGAGCGTGAGAATCATTCCGAGAACGGAGCATAATATCGTAACCGACGAAAGAGTGAAATTCAGTTGAACCACGAGAAATATGAAGAACATATATGTGAGAAATATACCGCCCAAAAATCCGAATACGCTCTTCAGAATAAAATTTTCGAGCGTGCCATCCGTGCGAAGAAGCTTCACTTTTTTATAAATCCAGGTATATTTTATGGAAGAAACTATTCGGCTCCAAAAATGTTTAACCTTCTTTCTACATCTATAAAAACGTGAGATTGATTTTTAAAAAATTGTAAAATAATTAAATAAAAAAGGAGAATTTTTAGCGCGTTAAATATATGATATTATTAAAAATCTGATGAAAACTTATATTTTTTTAGAAAGTAGATATATGATATAATAAAATATGTCGGAGAGAAAAATTTGTAAAGATTAAAATAAAAATATTTAACCTTCTTTCTACATCTATAAAAACATAATACACGTAGGATTGATTTTAAAAAAATTGTAAAATAATTAAATAAAAAAGAGGATTTTTAGCGCGCTAAATACATGATACTATTAAAAATCTGATGAAAACTTATATTTTTTTAGAAAGTAGATATATGATATAATAAAATGTGTCGGAGAGAAAAATTTTTAAAGGTTAAAATTAAAATATTTAATCTTCTTTCTACATCTGTAAAAACATGATACACGTAGGATTGATTTAAAAAAAAATTGTAAAATAATTAAATAAAAAAGAGAATTTTTAGCGCGCTAAATACATGATACTATTATATAAAAACCTGATGAAAACTTATATTTTTTTTAGATATATGATATAATAAAATGTGTCGGAGAGAAAAATGTTTAAAGATTAAAATTAATATTGATGTAGGTAGGTCAGTTGCTCTGAGAAATTGGTGGCTCACTTTAATCTCTTTCGTCGGAGACGCTGCTTTAAAGTGATACGTGGCTTGACACCTTCGGAGATCTCAATCGATCTCAATTTTTCATCCTCGTATCTCAACCTAGCTTTTTCGACCTTTTCAGCTTTCAGAAGCAATTGAAAAAATGCCATGACTTTATCCACTTATTCCATTTAATCTTTCATGCTATTTGCTACTGTAATGTGTTCGTCTTATTTCATTAATTACTCCAGTTTATAATAAATCATATATATGATAAAAATGTCACTGAATGCCATAATTTCAATAGAAACTGAAGTTTTAACAACTTGTTTTCATTCATATATTTCTCGATCTTCCATTGTTTTTTCATTGTTTTTTTTTGTAAATAAATTGTACATGGATACTTTTTATATCCTTTATTCAGATTATTTTTGAAAATCGATTCGATATTAATATAAAATATAACATTTTTTTATACATTATGTTATTTTATTACATTTTCTTTGAAAAAAAGTACAAATCTTTTCTCAATTTTTTAAATTTAATTTCCTTTAATTATTTGAAATAAATATGTACGCTCGCTAAAATTTTACAGGTATATTAACTCTACAGGTATATTAACATCAGTGGCATGTAGTCTGATATAGTAGAATCCGAAGCTGCCAACAAATGATTACACAGGTAGTCATCGGTAGTTGAGCGAATAATGATAAAAGTTTACATTATCAGATTATTATCTTATTTATCAATTGGATATAGGAAATATTTAATCAAAATCTAAGAAGTTTTTCTCCTAATTATAAACATTATTATTATATATCACATATAATAAACAGGAAGCCTTAAAAATATTGCAAAATCTTCAGACATATTAATAATCAAGTTTAAATAACAAATTATTTATATAATTGTAAAATAAAAATATAAATTTGTCTCCATTCTTATCATCCTACAAACTTATCATAACATCTATTATTTCACAAAATTGTGAGGATGCCAGGTATTTAAAGGACATCAAGTGCGCACAGTCATCCCCGATACCTTTTACAGTATTTTCATAACACGTTTGCAACAGACATTTGACATTTTCACGCGATTTCGAGCTCCTTTCAACTGATACAGCTGTAGCGAAACCAATCGAGCAGCTTCGTACGTTCTCCAAGATCCCACTCTACGTCAAACGTCGCCAGTGTTGGTCTTCGATCCTTCGAGCAGGACCGCCTGACGTGTCTCGCTGAGCGTCAGAGCGAGATATCGATGTCACCCGCGCGGTGGGTGTTGTCGGAGAGGGGCGCGCAATCTAAACCCGATAACGAGCCAGCTGGCGGCAGTGCCGTCGTTTACGTGGAGGTACGACCTTCGCGAGAACCCGCTCTCGCCTGGTGGACCCGAGCCGGGCCTCGTCCGGAGGAAGGTCGCAGCCGGAGGTTCCCGCGGAGTAAATCGCGCGGCAGGAACCGGTACAGCTCGCGGGCACGAAGAGCCGAAATTCTCCCGCGGATCCCCGAGGAGCGAAACGAGTCGGAGCAGAGGCGCCGAGGGAGAGAGGGAGGGAAGGAAAAAGAGGAAAACAAACATGCCGTGACCTCCCTCAGGTGTGACAATGTGTACAAGCCGACGAAGTCGACGCTGCTCATAGCGCGTGCGACCAAAGCCGTAGACGCTTCGTCGTCGTCGTTGCCTTTTGCCGCGCGTGTAATCGTGTCGTGCAGTGGTATCTCCTGACCCAGCTTCGACGCTCAGGTGCTCTTGGACCGATCGCGATGACTACGAGGGAGCTCTACGTTAAGGTATTGTTCTCGCGAACGCTCGCTCAGGGGGAGATACCAGGTGGCTGATGCGCATCCTCGAGGAAGATGGCAGGTCTTTTCCGAACGTGAATTGCGCGCCGAGGATTCTCGCATCGTTTCAGTCCCCCGGGAGAGATCGACGCTGAGCTTCAAGGGGATGTTTCGGTTCGGGATGTAGCTTAATACACGAACGTCATTCGTTTTGGAATCGATATTTCGGATTCTTTTGCTTGATAAATTTAATTGATAATTCTTCAGAATTCGGATAAGATTGTTGAGTCATTTCCGTGATCCTGAAATTTGTGATAGATGTTCGCAATAATGAAAATAAATGCGAAGTATGTATGTAAAATTTGCTTCAAGTGCACTCGATAAGCGAAAGAGTTGATTAAAAGTCCAAAGAGACTTGATGGCAGACTCTTCCATCGTTATTTAAAATTTAATATTAACGATACACATCGTTGTAATTTAGATAAATTATATTATATTCTAGTCAACGTAATATAATATAAATTTAGAAATCCGGATCTTTCTGAATATATGCGAAACGATATATGAGATCAACCAGGAAACTCACGGAGCTGAAAAGGTCTCGATTATACAATCAGTAGAAATTGCAGAAACGATGTCGGATATGAGTTTATGGTTGCGCATGCGAAACTGTATATTCTGACTTTGTTCTTACATTATTAACTGTGCAAACCTTTGACATTTAGAGTGAATGTATCTTTCGCGGGATGTCAACTTGTTAATTTCATCCCGTTGTCAACAATCTGCAATCTCATCAATGGAGGAAAACTGTCAATCTGTCTCTTTTAATTACGATTATATTTTTTTAAAAATATCTGCAAAGCAAATTTTCAATTCTTCAAAGATTGCAAATGTTCCATTATACGTAAGGATAAATTTTAATCAATATTTTATCCATATTGCCATATCGATAAATATATAACATATATATATATATTACAAGTATAATTCATCCATTTACAACGTATGCGTGCGCATGTCATATTTTCTATGTGATACAAGATTGTATTGAAGAGAAAACGCTATCTCTCTATTGCTATTTCTTTTTTATTTCGATTTGAATATAGGCCGACATTTCTATTACATTTAATTATGCAGGCTATTATTCGCATTCACAAAGACTCTCTTCTCTCCTTGAACATTGTGGATCCTGTATGAAACATAATCGCTATACGTCTTTCTAAAAGCATTTATTTGAGAATTTATCTTGATGTATTGCCTCGGAGCTTGCCTTTCTGCGATTTCAAATATTTTGATTGAAGCAAACAAGTTTTTATATCTATACTTGCTTTAGACTCAAGCTTTACACATTATGAGAATCAACAATACTGACCTGACATTGCTATCTAAAGCTATTCTAAAGTTAACAACTCTTATACCTCTAGGTGTGTACATATTTTACGATTAATATCTTCCTTCTGAAATCGATGCAAACAATTTCTTCTTCAAAATTAATTTACATCTCTAATCAATACGTCATTATTTAATATAAATTAAAGTTTAAATTAAAATTTAATATAAATTATTTAATATAAATTAAAAATTACTTATTTCCCGATTTTTTTAAATAGATACCGATAGAATATTTTTCGCGCGTTTCTTTTTTTTTGTAATTATTCGTAAGTTGAACTTTTATCGATATATATATTTTTACAAACTAATCAAACTACAGAACCCATTATTCGAGCAATAATTCATACCTTATTTTTTTTCTGTTAATTATAAGATCGATATAAGGATCACATAAAGATGATGCAATTCTCAAGCTATCGCGATTTCTTTTCAAAACTAAAATCAATAACTACCAGAGCGGGAAAGCCATTGCCGAGAGACCTAAATTCTGGTTTATACTAGGTGGCACGACCAGCCGTAGAAACAGGAGTTTATTTGCCTGATAATGTTTCTCGCACGTTGACAGTACGATTATGATTATAGGATCCGTTCGACTCAGTGTTGTACTTCTTGTAAATAAAGAAATGGTTTACAATTGATACAATCATTAATTTTTGAAATTTATCCAATTATTATTAAAATACGTTAAGATATTATAACACAATTACAATTTAAATTTATTTTTTTCTATTATTAATGATTTATATAATTTTTTTAAGTAAAAGAGATTTATATGATTCAAAAAATATCATTAATTTTTGAAATTTATCCAATTATTATTAAAATACGTTAAGATGTTATAACACAATTACAATTTAAATTTATTTTTTTCTATTATTTAATGATTTATATAATTTTTTTAAGTAAAGGAGATTTATATGATTCAAAAAATATCAAGAAATATACACTATTTTTGAAACAAATTTGTTATAAATATTTCAATTACTGAATGATAGGAATCTGTAAATTATTATTATACAAGTATAAATTAAGATAATTAAATCGATAATAATTGGAACGACATAATTGGACATGTTTGATAGAATCTGTTAGAGTTTATTTTTGGACTATCAATAACAATAGTTCTCAATAGTCACACTTCCCACAATTATGAATTATATTAACTGATGCTGAAATTGTGTGAAATGTCACTAATATGTCAAGACAATAATTAATTGTATCTCGTTATCTGAGTCATGTTTTAGAGGGAAATCAACAATGTGCAAATGTATATTGTGTAGAAACTAATTTTGCCAAATGTATAAATAGTTAATTAAAATTTTTAATTAAAATACTTAATTAAAATTTGAAAATTTTATTACATATATAAAAATACATCTCTATCACTAATGCACATTGTCTTCACAATCTTCCCATGAAAATTATCGATAAAAGTATACTAAAATACAAAAATAGTACAGCATATAATAAACCTAAATGTGAGTGTGCCATCGAGTAATGAAGATTAGAAAGTGGCGATGCGCTATATAATTTGCCTCTTTGGCTTACACCATTCCCTTTAAGCCTGTGACGCTTCTCTCCGACGTTGGTGGTTGATTTATCGGTGTGAGCGGCGGGGGTTGTCCGAGGTCGGGCGTCATGGTTTTTGTTATAACAGGTTTTCGCCTTTTTGGCGACTTGAGGGTTCAAAAGAAGAAAAAAAAGATGGAAATAATGTCGGATATTCTTTTGGTATCTTTTCGCATCGATAATGTTCATTTGAGCTACGACGATGCGGGCCTTCAGAAAATCCTAAACCGTTGAACACGCTTTTAAAACGTGAAAGTAGGAAAATATTTGTATTGTTGAGAGGAAAAAAAATGAGAGAAAACACCGTATTTTTGAAAAATATTGTATATGTTTATAAAGAAAAAGATGAATCAAATACATTAAACATTAATTAACAGAATAATATACGTCATTTAATTGTTGTGAATTAAATCAGTTTAAGAAAATTTATAGAGGTTTGAGTCTTAATTTAAGAATCTTAAATATCGACTCGAATCTTCCTAAAACAATTGCTGCGACCATCTACAGATGAAATGCACATGTAATCGCGAAAAATCTCCTCGAGATGAGGGCAAAGAATATAGGATGAGATCAAAACGTTTTGCTTCTCTGCAGCAAGAGAAAGGGATCTTGGCAGTAGTTTAGCGATTGAACTGATCATCGAACTGTGCCAGCTATTCCCAACTTTTTTAATTCACTTAGCTTCAGTATAAAAGCGCGATTTTGACTTTTCATCCAGAAAGTAATTGGACCACAAAAAACTCGAGTTTTAATTAATAAAAATTTCGAGATATTGTTAAAGTGATTTTTAATGGTCGATCTAGAGATATTTAACATCACAAATTTACAAAATAATGTTGTATCAAATTTTCGGGAAAGAATGCTGTCTGCTTATTATCAAATATTTATTGTCAAATATATTAGATATTTGTATTATTATTTATTCCATTAATGTTTGTATTCTTAGTGCGCAAATGCTGCCGAGAATCCTTTCTCTCAACAGACATTCTCCTTGTATTGATTGCAACGCGCCGCGAATGGAAAAGACCTCGTGTCTCTAGTCCAAGATCACTAGTTCAAGAGATTAATGCATTTTACTCGTGTTGCGATTAAAGAAATTCAGCAACAATTATATATGCGTTTGACTTTAAATAAAATATTTTTTTCCGACGAGGAAAAATGTTCTCATGTTAAATAAGGCATTACGTTGGTCCTTTCTGGCGCCTCTTTCAGCCTCTCTCTCTCTTAACGAGACAAAAGCTCCGGCGGCGATATCCCATGAAAGTATTCCGCTTTATGGAACGCGCGCTATATAATTAACATTCACGCTCGAAGCGGAAAGTTAGGTTCTCATGTGACTTTTATTTCGTGGAATACTCAATGGCTAAATTTATTTTTGTTTATTGTCACTTTTGTTTATTGTATTTTTGTTTATTGCCTGTTGTAATTAATTATGCTTCTGATGTGCATCGAGAATGTTAATTATTTGCACTTGAAATATTTTCACGATTAAGATATTTTGAGGTAAATTAAATCATGTGCATTAAAATTTAATAGCGCATTCTATAATTATTGCTACTTATTTCTTACTTTATGCACAATTCGGATTTAAACATGCAATTTTATATGACGTAAACCGTTGTTCAAGATGCATTTGAAACTCTGATTATAAATCACATAATTTTGCGTGAATGATGAGGAAAAAAAAGAAATATTGCATGTATTAAAAACTTGACTTATGTACAATTATATATATATATATATATATATATATATATATATATATATAACTATATTTACGATATAATTCAGAGGTATATATATAATGATATTTCGTGAGAAATAATAATTAATTTTATATAATAATGATTGTGTGTGATTAACGTTTTTAAGTTTAATAATATATTAAATAGAGATAAGCAGAAAGAATACGTTGGAATAACCAACAACAAAGGATGTAAATTCGCTAAACTTGTTTATCTCGTTCGGTTTTTTATGTGTGGATCTTGAGGTTTATATATATAAACCTCAAGATTCATAAAAAATAGAACGAAATAAACATGCAAATA